TTATGACAACTGTCTGGTTTATGCTGTTTTTCTCTAATAATGCTCTGTACCATTAAACAGCAGTGCCACAAACCAACAGACTTGCAAATTATTTTAAGGAAGAACAAGTTCATGCCATTGCTTTTTCTTTGGGTCTTGTGGGAAGGTGTTTCCTGATTTTACCCTGGGTACTCCCAGCTCTGGTTGCTCCCTCTCCCAGATCCTGCCCTTTGAAAGTCCCAAATGGTACACTCATGAGACCATAATCTTTAAGCTTGGGAAAATGATCCAGACCTGACTCACAGGCAGAATCAACCCCAAATCCCTCTGCCTTTGTTCACTTTGTTATATTTTGCTTTCCTTCCATTTGTGTTCTCTGCTCAGGTAGAAGGAAGCAGTGCTGCCCACAGCCTGTTGAGTTGTATGATGGGCAGCAGCAGGGGAGGAGAAGGCTCTGGTTGAAGGGTTGCAGTTGGGATAGTGATAATGGCACCAATGAGCAAGCTCTGGGGTGCCTGTGGTGCACACCTCAGAAGTTTGCCCATGTCAGTTGGGCATGGAGAGCAAAGATTGCCATCAGCTGGGAGCTCTGAGATACAAGAAAATTGTACAGATACTGTGGCTTTAAAGGGTTACATACTCACTGAGCTGTTTTTAAGTTGAGGAAAGTTGCTCATTCTCTGCCTACATTATGAGTCAAACTAGGATGCACATTTTCTTGAAATCCCTAAACCCTTCAGCCTGTGCATAAGAGCCTCTTCTTGATGTGGTTTTCATAATTGATGTTTGGCTATTTCACAGTTGCTTTTCCCCATGGAATTTCTCTTTAAAATGCCTCATATTTCTTTTTAATTTTGACTGTGCATGGCAAGTTTATATTTAAAAAAAAATTCAAGCATAATTTTTTGTAAAGCTAGGATGTCATTAGGGTACTTTGGGGAGGGAAATTTGGCTTATTATTTGTGATGTCCCGTGAGAAGATGGTAACTGAAGTCCTACCAGTATTTCCCCCTTCTTCTACGTGTGAATTTTCAGAAAGGTTTGTCAAGACAGACATCAGTATTTGCAAGTTGCCTTTGGATTGATGAAACTTTTGGAAACATGTGCATTGTTTCCTGAGACTTATTTCTTTACACAGCAATGCTGATTGCTTATTTTGGGACAACGACTAGACAAGAAGGTTTTAAAAACAGAAGTAAGAAAAGAAAAGAATAGAAAACCTGTATTTCAAAACCTAAAAGGGTCTAATTTCTTAACAGAACAGAAACAAAATGACAATTCCTTCATACTTAGTTGGACCTTTGAGATATTTGCCTAGAGAGAACTCTATTTTTCATATATTTTTACTTCTTCAAGAAAACTGTAATTGTCAGATGTTTATATATACTTCCTTCTTTTCCCCCCCTCTTTTCTGTGAAGGCTGTTTACACCAAAACAATATCTTTGTTTCCAGAGTTCATCTGCTCCTGCTGCTCCTTTTCCAGCTGAAGTCACAATACTGGGTCTGTGACATCACTGTTGGCTGCCGTGACAACGGAGAATTTTCCCTCCAGGTGGAGAACGTGCAGCAGCAGCAGCAGCAGCAGCCACTCTGTCAGGAGCAGAGAGAATGTTTTTCTATGCATATTGCTAGCCATGGAGAAGGAAGGGAAGGAAAAATCTGCAAGAAAACCAAGTGTAGATTTTCTGAGTGTGCTGCTTGTGGAGTGGGCACAGGTACTGGAAACTTCACCTTCCACAGGATTTCTTGTGAAATCAGTTAACAGCAGTTAACTACAGATTATACATTTGTTGAGAAGAACTTGCTTTTCTAAAAGGGAGAGTGCAGGAGAGGGGTTTAGTTTAGATTAATGCATCATTTGGATACCTGAATTGTATCCACAAGTTTTATGGAGTTTTTTTGGGGTTTTTTTCCACACAAATTCCCTTTCAAAACCCAAGGGCAGATGATTAATGCACTGTTCTTGCTAAAGTTTACACATGTAGTGGGCTTTCAGTGTGTGAGTTGTCCTGATGAAGTCAGTTCAGACAATTCATGTGCTTAAACTCAGACACAGGCACATGTGGCAGTAGTGTGAGGGTCTAGCCAGCAGTCCTAGGGGAACAAATAAAGATTTTATAGAATATTTTGTGATGCAGACACTGTCTTGGAAGACACTTGTCACCTGGAAAAGCTGAAGTCTCTGACTGAATCCACCAGGAAAAGCAAGCAGACTGGCCATAAACCTTCTCCCTGTGCTTTTTGCTGCCTAATTAATCTCATGGCTCACAGCCTTGCAGTTGGTGGTTGGAAAGTGAGGGGTGTCTGTGGCTTAAGAGGCGACACCTCAAGATCATTAAATAGCAGGGAGGAAAACAGGATGGAGAAATCACTATACCCATTGACTGTATTGCAATGATACAAGTGAAAAATACATATACATCTAAAGTGTAGTCACAGGTTCATGGTATGAAATGGTATGCCCTGATGGCTCACAAGCATGGATGGAGCAGTCATCCACTGCCAAGGCTGCCCTGAAGGACAGAGGCAGCATGCAAGTCCCTCAGGTGCAGTTGTAGCATTATTTCCATACTTCAGTTTCATGGCTGTACCAAGGACTACAGGAAAACCTTAAGCAGGAAAAGATGCTCTTGTTCTCCTGCATAACTTTCTAGCCAGTGTGAGAGAAGTAGCACCTCCAGCTGACTAAGTGCAGTTGGAGATGTTTTTTCCAAAAGACCCTGAGCAACCTCTGCAGCCACATTCCTTGGTGACCGATGAGTCTTTGCTACTGGTGTTTTCTCTCACTTCCAGCATCCTGGAAAACCCAGGGATTTGCTTGGTCAGGGTCCGGTTTCCCAGTGAGTCCTGTTGATCCTGCTTTCCCGTGGCTCCCTACTACAGCTCTGCTGAAGCATTTCTGAGTTGTCACAAGTCAGGAGAGAGTGTATTTTTCCAGGAAGCCTTGTAGTATAAAGGCACCGGCAGCCTCAGGAGAGTGCCTTTTACCTACATCTGTGTTTTGAGATGTCTTAGGATTGTGTGTTTGTTTGTTTGTTTGTTTGTTTGCTTTAGCACACGCTGGGTTGCTGTTGTGGCAGTCCATATGATTCATGTCTCGCGCAGTCTGACAGGTTTATTGTAGCTCGAGCGTGCTGAGCTGCGCGCTGCGGTTGCTGCTCTGCTCGTGCTTGGTGCCAGGCCAGCCCGTGGGGCCAGTGCAGAGTTCTTTGCAAGTGCCAGGACCCAGAGGGTGATGTGTGTGGGAGGGCCACTCGAGCGAGCTGCTTGCCTTAGCTTTGGGAACTGGAGAGGATATGAGAACACTTGCTTGGGCTTTATTTTTTAAAACAGGAACAGCGTGTTCTTTGGAGCAGGCAGACCAGAAAGCAGGAGGGTCAATTTTGGGATCTAATGGTGCTGTCAGGATCCAGTTTCACATTTATTTTCTGTCTCTGCAGAGCATGGAATAAGTTAACATTTCAACAGCTCAGAGTCTCTACTACTGAGCCTTTAAAAGACAAAATAATACCAAGTTCTTATAACTCTGGGATCAAAACCCCATGGATTTTAGGTACTTTAATAGCTTCTGTATCTTTTTACCTGAGTTTCACTTAAACCTGTTTTTTACACCAGTTTATACCAGTTATGCCTGCTTATGTCAAGTGTTACTCTGTCTTGTGGAGTTCATCATCCACTGATGCCCACCTGAACCTTTCAACTCTTCTTTTTCCTTTTTTTGGTTTTAAATGATTTTTATTTTTTTGGCAAAGGAAAGAGGAGTGAAGGTTCAGAGGGCTGGAAGAAGAGGCACAGCGAGGTGAATACATCGTGGCCTTGCTGAAACCCAGGGATGAGCTGGCGGGAAGAATCAAGACAAAAGAGGAGTGACATCATTAGTTGGGAAATTTTGAGTAGTTTCATGAAAACCTGTTCGGTGCCATTTCGCATGTAGTCCCTGAGCACCATTTGCTGGTGCTTGGCCAGGTGAAAGGAGTGTCTCTGGGAGCCTCCAGCCTGTGGATTTTCTGGGTAAGCCACAGAGGGACCTGTACTATTGATGTGCCACTTGTGCTGTTCTTGTAACCCCCTGGTGCTTCAGGGTCCTCCATGCTTGACTCAGCTGTGGCTTGTGGCATGAGCTCTGCAGGGTGACAGCGAGCTGGGCAGGAACAGGGTTCCCTGAGCAGCTGTGCAGTGCAACCCAGCCCCTGCAAATTGGGGTTGTTTTTCCATGACAGCACAAAGAGAGCAACTGTCCTGAATTTGATTGTGTAACTTTTGTAATCATCATAAGAAACCTGCTTGGTAAATACATTTTCTCTACCTGAAAGAAACTGCCCCACTCCTTTTTGTTCTGCAGATAATAGACATAAAAATGAAATATGGACCTGTGTTCTTAAAAGGTCGCATTTATTTGGTTGTCAGGGAGATTGCATATCAAAATAGGTCTTGTTAAGATTTGATGATACGCTAGAGGAATTGAATGAATTGGAACTTTGGTTCATAGAAGTTGGAAAATGGGCTAGAAATAGCTTATGATCTGGAAGATGGAGATGGCCACCCCTTTTTCCTAATGCCTCTGGAATGAGGAAACTGGCTTTGGGTTTTGTGTCAGGTGCAGGACCAGTGGCCATAGAATCATTAAGGCTGGTAAAGACTTCTAAGATCCTTAAATCTAGCCTGTGACTGGACACCACCATGCCAACTAAACCATAGTACTGAGTGCCATTCCAGTAGTTTCCAGTAGTTTCCTGGATGCTTCTAGGGATAGTGACTCCACCACTTGCCTGGGCAGCCCTTTTGGGGAAATTATTCTTCTTGATGTTCAGCCTGAACCTGCCCTGGCACAGCTTGAGGCCATTTTCTCTTGTCCTGTTGCTGGTTGACTGGGAGAAGAGACTGACCCCCTGCTAATGTGCTAAAATTCCCTTTCAGGTAGTTGTAGTGAGTAATGAGGTTCCCCCTGAGCATCCTCTTCTCCAGACTAAACAACCCCAGCTTTCTCAGCTGGTCTCCATAGGACTTACTCTCTAGACCCTTCACCAGCTCCATTGCCCTTCTATGGACATACTGCAGCTCAGTGTCTTTCGTGTAGTGAGGGTCCCAGAACTGAACGCAGGATTTGGGGTGCCCCCTCACCAGTGCCAAGCACCGAGGGACAGTCACTGCCCTGGTCCTGCTGGCCACATTGTTTCTGATCTGGATGCCACTTGCCTTCTTGGCCACCTGGAGCCACAGCTAGCTCATGTTCAGCTGCCAGTCAACCGGCACCCCCAACTCCTTTTCCCCAGGGCTGCATTCTGGCCATGTTTGTCAGCTCTTGTTTGCATTGTCCTAGTTTCATTCAAGGCATTCTTCTGCCTGGCTCAGTAACAGCTCATCGTGTCACTGGTCTCCAACCCTTTCTGCCTAATGCATGGTGGGTTGCTAGGGGTGCTGCCGTCATCCACATTTTAGTTGAGGATGTGATGACCACGCATTTTGTATTGCTTTCCAAGATTTGACTGGATGACTCAGCTGATCCTCTGGTGACTCATTTCAGTCTCCCATGAGCCCAGGAAGGACTAAAGAGGGAAGTGGGGCTATTTTCAGATATGAAAAATGACCAAAACCAAGGACTGTGTCCACAAAGGAGTACTGCAAACGTGGAATTAATTGGGCATTCATACTGGGTGTAAACTTGCTGCTTCCCACTGAAACTCTTTCCACAGTTGTTGTGCTTCTGCTGAATCTAGTTTTCAGTCTCTCTCTTCTTACTTCTCATCCATATGGATGTTGGAAAGCTTTTATTGAGTTTTGAGTACATAAGGTCTGATGAAAGTTCACAAGACTTTTTAGTACTAAATTCCCCTGGCTGTTTTCTTTTGTTTTGGGGTTTTTTTTATGGCAGTTTCCCCCTCTCATTTGCTGAGAGTGTCACAGTTTTTCTAACAAAAACCCAAAAAGGGCCCACCACAGGCCATTTTACCCTCTAGTCATTCTTATGACTATGGCAAAACTAACATGCCCAGTATTCTCCTGGACCTCCTGAAGGCTCTTTTGATTTCACCACAAGTTGTTAGTAATATGTTTTTTTCCTGGAACCTGTGGAAACAGTGGTATATTTTCTCCTTGTGAGAAAATCATACACAACCTATTTTCCCAGAAACTCTTCTTTCCCCCATTACTCAGTTTGGCCAGATTTCCCTTACATCGTTAGTCAAAACCCATAGGTGTGACTGTGGACAGCTTGGCTGCAGCATCAGCAACACATTGGTGATTCTGAACTCATTGTCCCACTGCATCTAAGCTGAATCCTTTCATTTCATTGCATAGGAAAAGGAAAGAATTGAATGTTCTGAGTCGAAAGCACATGGCTGCAAAACAGTTGTAGTAGTGCCAAAAAGATGCTTCTGAAGAGGTTGGGCAAGTGGTTGCATGCTGCTGGAAGCGCAAAGTGACATGTCAGTTCTTAAATGTAGCATCAGGAATGAGAAGAAGGCTTGACAGCCCATTTAGCTGGTTTGTCATCTGTAGCCGTCTCTCCTTTCTACTGTGGATTTTTGGTTCTGCAGGTCTGGTTTCAGCAGGACACAGCAGGTACTCATGGTCAGCACTTGACCAGGGCTTAAGGTGTGCTCTGTTGCCTGGGTTTCTGCAGGGTGCTGTGCAGGCTCTTGAAAGCGCTGAGTGATCTGGAGCAAAGTTACACCAAGGGAGTGTTTATTGTCCAGGCTGGACAGGGCTGGCTGTGGGGTCCCCACTGCAGAAGGCATTTGGCCTGTGTCATACTGGATCTCCATGTTTAGCTTCACTCCCCTTCTGTCATGGTCTAATTTTGACAGCGCAAGAAGCCCAGCAGCCATGGTGTTAAGCACTGCAGAGCTGAGTAAATACATATGTCAATAAATAATCATATCCTGCGCAAAAGAGAAACCTGGGGGAGAGACTGATGGTAGCCAGGGAGTTCTACTGGTACAGGTGGAGATTTTTATTGTTTTGTTTCTGTTAATGACTTCCCTTGGAGTGATTTCTTTTCTTCTAGAGCTTTGAGGGGGAGTAGGCTGTTAGTGCTGTCCCTGAGTTTCTTCATCACCCACAAGGGCCTTATATCCTCCTTTCTCAAGTAGATAGCCTTTCCTGAGCTTCTGGATGTTTACTCTTCAAGGCTCTGAAATCCTTCATGTAGTTTATCCTCATGCTTAAATCAGGGGGTTTTTCTGTGTAAGCAAGAGCTTTGTACATCACCTAGGCTGTTCTTCCTTGGCCAAACAGGCCTCTTCTCTGTACGCTGATCTGGCCTCTGTCCTATTAGACCTTGCTTAGAAATGAAGCTGATGTGAAGACAGTGGGAGATCAGGCATGCACCAGCCCCAGCAATCCAGCCAGCAGTGGGGCAGGCAGGTGTCCAGAGGCACTTCTGTGGGATTGCTTGGGGTAGCATCACTCATTTCCTTGGAGATTATCAGATTAATTGCCTTCGTGGGTCATCTGGCCATGCAAGTGTTTACATGTCTATGTGTGCCTGACTGTGACCATGTGTTTTGTGTGACAGAGGTCAGTACAACCCCAAATACAGCAAACAGAGTCACTGGTTCCTACAGATAAACCTTTCAATACACTGTGTTCTCATGGAGGCTGCAGCAGCTCGCTATAGCTGTGTCTCATATGAGAGCCACTCACCAGTCTCAAAGGTGAATGGACCAAGAGAGACAGGTGTTTTGGGGAGAAATGAGTCCACATCCCAATCCTGCACCCTGTGTCTCCATGGTGATTTTTGCTTTGGGCCAGCTGGCTCAGTCCTACCATGCCTGTTCTGGTCCCAGCTCACAGCCCATTTCACATCATGCGTTTCTGGGTTTATAGCCCTACTTTGGAATGCAAACCAAAAGCCATAGGTGACAGCAAGAATAGGTTTCTGACTGTTTGGCCATAATTTTGGGGATGTTTTCTTGGTCCTAAAGTCTGGAAGACATGGTGAAAAATGCTCAAGGTGTTTCCTTGAGGAACTGAAGGCTTTTGTCTGTGCAGGTCAGGTGTGATGATGGGAAGGCAGGTTATTTACAGAATTTTTGCAACTCCGTAAACTGGAGGTCAGGTGATCAACTTGCACTATCCTTTCTCTTCAATTCCTAAAATGCCTCACACGCTCAATGTTTGAGAGTACTATAGGTCCTGTGTTTGGTCATTCCTACTTGAAGGTGGTATGTGGCTGTCAGGAGATCAACAAATCAGTGTGTCTCAATTTTCTGTTTTGGCAGAGCCCTGTGCCCAGCTTCTCCACCTTTCTCCTTGCATCTTCATCTTCCTTTGCAGGACAGATCCTGTGTATTTCATCCAGACCTCACCAGGGGCTTGTTTCTCTCCGACAGGTCTGTATCCTGATGGAAATGCAATGAAGGAAGGGGCTTTGTGAATAGGCAAACTGATGTTTTCAGCCCAGCTAGAGCTTGGGCTAAGTTTCAGATTTTGTAAACAAAGCAGGGGCTAAATGTCGTTCAGTGGCCTCTTCACAAATAAAACAGTTAGGAAAAAATCCTGTGAGAGGCTCAGCCAGAGACTCCAGTGAACCTTGCCCATGTCTTACCTTCACAAGTAGTGCTGTTTCTAACAAGTAAGGTATGTGAGGTGCCAGGCATTCCCTGTGGTTTCATCACACTTACATGCCAGTTGGAGTCATTGACATTACAAAGTTAATATTTACAGGTGGAAAGTCATCCAGGTGGGGAGACAGCCATCATGGAAAAAGCCAAAATATCCTTTCCACTAGGCAGTTGTGGGAAGCCACAGATGTGCCACTGCTGTGTGTGAGAGGGGGGCACAACCAGAGCAGCAAAGGAAAACTGATTTGTTTTGGTTCTGTTTTGAGAGGCCTTGGTACCCTTTCCCAGGAACTAAGATAAGGGAGGGCCAGGTAGGACAGCCACTGAAGTCTGGGGTCAGGAAGGTTAAAAAAGTCCTCTCTTTCCGCTGTAGGATGGGGTACTGTGGTCAACCCCTGTTTGGAAGATGAACAGCAGTGACTTGAGTCATGCTGCCTCGAAAGCAAAACCATGCCAAGGTCATCCTTCTTTCAGTTCTGCTTTTGAGGTGTAACTCTGTTAGCAGGTAGCAATCGGAGGTGGAGCTTGTTGGAATCTAGAGGCTCCTGCCTTACAGACCTGTTGGGAGGTTAAATGTAAGGATCCAGACATTAGGCTGGACTACAAGGCAAGCTATGGCCAGTTTCATGTTTACTGCAGAGACTATCTTGTTTAGTTCTACAGAGGGAGCTTTGGGTGCTGCAGAAATGCCGTGGTTACTGTTTGTTCCACTTTGTGATGGTGGAGGACAGATGGGAAGGAGGAAGGTGCCCAGAACACATGCGATTTTGCCAAACAGTCCTACCTGGCACATTGATGTGAGTAACTGCTTTTGGACTCATCTGGCTCCATTTTGGTTTCAGGATGAGGAAATATTCCTTGGTAGCTTGCTTTCCCCATCTCCTCTGGCTGTACCCAGTGCTTCAGGAGCTCATTCAAGCATGGCATTATAGGAGCCTCATCATGTCATGCCTCATTTTAAGTGGTGCTGTGGGTGTTGCCGCAGTCTTCAGCTCTTTAAACAGATGTGGTGCTGCTCGTGGGCTCCCCAGCAGCCTGAAGCACAGCTCCAGCCAAGCATTCCACACTTGCCTCAGCTCTGCTGGGCCTCTCTCCAAGAAATCTGAACGAGGGATTTCTTCAGCAAAGCATTTATTAGACATCCTTCAGTGTCCTCCAAAGATAAAGCTTCAAAGCAGGGCTTCTGTCAATCCCACCTCTCTGATTTCATCTTTTTCTTTCTTTCTCATCCCATCTCTGACTCCCAAGCAGACTTTCTTCTCCTCTGAGGAGAACTGATCATTTGCTTGTAAAACTTCTTCCTGACTTTACTGACACCCACTTTCCTAAAATCTCTTTATGCTTACATTGTGCAGAAGTTCCTTCACAAGCTCATGCAGACCTTGGAGGCTTTCAGGTGCTGCCCCTGCCTCCATCTTTATTATTCACCACCTCATTTTGATCTTGAGACTCCAGAAGACCTCCCTGGCTTGCAGGTCTGCTGCTCAGCCAGGTACCTCTGGCAGGGCTATGATCAGCCTTCTCAAGCCCCAGAGACCTGACATGGGCACCACAGACTCCCAGGTTTCTCACTTTATGTCTGGAGAGCACTTTGACATCTTGGTAGGGCGCTTGCAGTCTCATTTTTTGATTTCTGTAGAGGTGTCAGTCTTTCTGTCAGCTTTGACAGATATGCAGAAGGGTGTTTGTTTACTGGGGTCTAACTCTATTTTGTCGAGGCTGGAGACTATTAAATTGTATTCACTTGCTGTCTTCATTTGCTTCCCACGCAGCAGCACTGAGGTATCCTGAAGAGAAGTTTTGCACTATTCCAACTGTGCTGAGTTTTCCCATAAGAAGTATCTAGGGGCTATCTTTCAGTTCAGGGGAGCACGGACTGGACTGCTGGACCTTCTCACAGCAAGACCTAAAATTTGTGTCAGGTCCAGTTACTGTAGCGTCTACAGGGAAGTGACAGAGCAGCCCCTGGTGAGGTATATTTTAACCTGTGTTCTCAGGTGTTGCATAGTTAATTAACTATAATGTGAAACATAAACTAGTGTGATTAACTGAGGAAATCTGTAATATCTCTTGTCATTACTACAGTACATTCCAGTGGGAGATGGAGGTGACCCTGAAAGAATCTTGTACTGAAGTGTAATAAAGTGTTCAAATGTAAATGTATTTATTTGTCCCTGAGATTTTGCTTCATGTGCCTAAAACCACGGATATGTCAGAAGAGCCCACAGCTTGTTATTCAGGTTCATCTGCCCCTGAGCCCACTGCAAAAGGATTAATAAGAATTGTAATACTTCTATATTACAGCTAAGAAAGCTTTCAGTAGCCAGCAGATAATTTGCCCTGGATTTAAGGAGTTAAAGGGAGAGTGAGGAAGGGAATAAAGATGGTTTGTGAGAAAAAACAGCAGTATCCTGAGCCACATGCCAAAATAACCTGATCAGGCCGTGATAGGGAGTAACTGCCTACAACACCTCCATGCTCAAGAGTACTAAGTAGGTCCTGGTTGATAATTTAATCATACCTATAAAGGAAAGTCATGTGCAGAATGAAACAGGAGGCAGGGTTGTTGATGCTATAAATGCAGGAGAGGGATATATAGGAGGGCAGTTGGGGTGTCAGGGAGATAAGGGATTTGAAGATGATGATGATGACAAAGCCCTGGCCATGGCACTGGAGGGATATGCTTTTTGGGTGGGGATAAGAGGGAAGGAGATGGATGCTTAGCTTTGTCCATTTGTCTTTGTTTATGGTTACTCTGTGCATTGGGAAGTCTTGCTTTTTCAATTGGCCATAAGACATGGATCAAACTTGGCAGGTTGGAGCCATGTGAATCCAGGTCTGGAGCAGTGCAGGAGATGTGCTCTGTCACATCTTACATCTTTGGGAACTGCTGTGTACTACATTTAGAAAACTACTAATTACCTGAGATGGTTTTACTAGCAGGACAGGAAAAGCAGAACAGGAAGGCAGGGAAATTTTCACCTGGAACAAAGGCCCCCTTGACATCTTAGGCTCACCAGGAACAGGAAGGAGCTGAGGCTGTTGAGGTCTGAGCTTGGCTTTGAGGTTGTGTCCAAATATTTGGTAGCACAAGGGAAAGAATTTGTGTAGCCTCCAGGGACATAAATTTTCAGGAGGTTCTGAGAGTGCAGTGGTGCTGGGGTCAATGCCTCAAAAGGAGCCACACAGAGGCCACTGTGAAGAAGAGTGCTATGCTTGAGACATGGCTATTTTGAAGGTACAATGCATTAGCCATACCTGTCAGATCCCCTTTTCATCGCCTTCTCAGCCTGGGCATGTATATGGGTTTGCAGGCTTGTGCCTCTCTGGGGAGAAGTGGAAGATACTTATTTCAGTATTGTGTTGCGAGCATCATTTATATGCTGAACACACGCCATGTGCTTTCTACAGTATTTTTCAAGCAGGCACTGGCGTTCTGGCAGCAGCCAGGAAGCAGCCTCTGGTTACAGAGCACTGGCAGCTCTGCAGGTACTGCAGAAGCTCTGACTTCCTTCTTAATACAGGGCACCGCCTTGGTCTCCTGCCACCTCAAAGGCCACACTTAAAAATCAGCAGTAAGTGCTGGGAGTAAACCAGAAAAAAAACATCAGAGACTTTCAGACTCCGTCTTTAGTCCCCAAAGTGTATTTTTTGCCCTTTGGGGTAACGTGGGTGGATAAGGAACTTTACCTCATTTGCTTTCCTGAAACCTGTTAGAAGTACAAGTGAGGCGGCTGCGTGATTTATGTGTGCATGCAGAAGAGGGCCATCTGAATTGTAAATAGCACCTGCTAAATTATTATTAAGTGAAAGCTGACGTGGGAGGAGTTCTCAGGAACAAAAAACCTCAAGTCTTTAAATAAAAGTCATTCCAGCTGTTTTAACACTGTCCCCTGGCTGCACCCTACCTACTTCAGCTCATGTAGATGCTATGAGGAGTTATGTGAGTCATATCAAGGACAGGGAAGGCCCCATTAAATCCAGGTACTATCAGTTTTGTGAGAGCTTTAAATGACTACACTAAACTCATTATTAAAGAAAGGAACTATCAATTTTATTTAATGCATGGTGCCCAACCCTGATTCTGCTCCCAGCCCAGAGATTTGTTTGTTCGGGGGTGATATAAAACTTAGACTTACACTCTTCAGGACATGTATTCAGCTGTTGTGGCGTCCTGGCTTCATCCTGGCTGGCTAATAGAGGTCTGCCTTGCACCCATGCCAGGGCAGGGACCAGCTCAGTTGGAATTGCCACTTGGCTTAGCCCAGCCAAAGTTTTAGGTGGTGTAGGTAGGGCTGCTGAGCTGGGCTTCAGGTGACCAGGAATACTCAGTGGGTGAAGCTGCTCATGCCAAGTATCCTCACTCCCTCTACTCCTTGCAGAGTGCAAACAGATGAGAAACCAGGTACCAGCCTTGGGCATTCCATGCAAAATGCAAAAAGGTGACTGCTAGGATCTTCCTGCAGAGAAGGGAAGTGATATGAGGCCCAGACTTGCACAGGAGGTTTCTTGTCAGACCTGTGAATGGGGGTTTAAGATAACTTTTCCCAAGTGAAATATCCCATTTTCCATCCCTCTGCAGCTTATGGCCCCTCTGTCTTTCCAAGACCCCAGGTGCAAGAATGCTCCCCGGGGGCATTCCCACTGTCTCTGAGACACTGGTGCATTGGGCTTGGCTGGTGTGGATCACCCCATTACTGCTGGCTTGTTTCCTCATGGATGTTGTGGCAAGCTGTTGTCAGCCTGTGTAATCAAAAAGCTGAAGGTGTAAATCATATTACAGGCTGTAATGAGGAATTTGATTCCTGTAACAAAACCATCCAACTTTTATTCACATTTATTACTATTCCTGCTATTGCCATGGAGCAAAAATCCTTTTTGAAAGAAACAACATGCCACCAGCACAGTTTTATTGTGTCCTCAGGAAATTTAGGATTGTGTTTTTCTCACATTAACTGCACAGGAAAATTTGTAATAAAAATTACTTCTCTGCAGAAGACACCTTTTTCCATCACCAAGCTGTCAATCAGCCTGTAATTTCTTGGTATTGGACTATGCTGAAGAACTCACTGAGTTATTTTCCTTACAATGCATGCCCTTGAAACCTCAGACATGAGAAAATAATTTTGGATGTAAGGAAGAAGATTTCATAGTTATTTTTTTCAGACAAAAAGAAAAAACCTTTTCTGTGATGAGATGTAACCTCTGAGGAGGGCAACACTGGCAGCAGAAGAGTCCAAAGTCCTTGCTTTATCCACACAAGCACTGCTTCCTTCATCCCCTCTATTTTTGGGGTGAATCAGTGTTTATCCCATGTTTCTGTCCTCTGCTGAGGCTGCCAGCAGTGTTTCAGGGACAGCAAGGGGCTGGTTGTTGATGTGGAAACCAGTCCCTAACAACAACTCGTTTCACCAAAGGGCACAGGCAGCCATCTGACATTGACAATGTTGAGTGACTGCTGACCTTGTTTTTAGCGTCAGCTGATATCAAGTGGAGCCCTGCCAGTTTGCACCAGTTGAAAGCCTGTCCCTTAATGGTGGCGATTATCCTGATTTTTACAGTGGCGCTGAGAAAGTTGCAGCTGCCGTGCTTCACATCCTTGACTTTAATTTGCTGTGCCTCAGTCTTTTGGTGTTATCTTTAGAGGAGAGTGCGAGAAGAACGTCTCTCCTTGTTCTGCGTCAGTCGTTTTTTTCCCTTTTCATTTTCTACGAAGAGAGATTGCTCAAGCACACTGTGGAATGAAAGCCATAAAACTATAAATTATACCTCTGCTAGGTCCACAATATGTTGCCAATTACATCTGCCATATTATTTGCGTCCAGGGGGAAAACATACATCAAACCACCCCCTCTCTCCAGGCAGGTCAGTACTGTACTAGAAGGAACACTGTGATTCTTCTTAATCTGTGGAAAAACAAACACGGTTTTGGCTCACTCACACACGATCTTTGTGTCCAGGATGACAAGTTGAGTAGCACTGCTGTGGTTCTCCGAGCTTGCTGCCGTCGTGACAGCATCATTGCCCTGGGGAAAGGAGAGAGGAGAGAAGGTAGTTCTCTAGTACCTTCTAGCAAGGAGTCTGAGTATCCAGTTACAGGGACCATGGAAATTGCTGCCCAGGAGGATGGGGGAGCAGGGGGTAATGGAGTTAGAAGGAACAACAGCAAACAATCATAAATCTATTTAGAGACAGGGGTCATGTCTGCAGAGGGCAGCATGCTGTGATTTGCAGGGCTTCGTTGCTAGACTGGGACCAGTGGGGTTTTGTGTACCATGTTCAACCCTAGGTGAGGGTTTCCACCTGTGTCCTGAAGGGGTTTTCTTCTGCATCTGCTCTGTCCTCAGAAATTAATCATTGTGGAAGGGGTGAAGGCAGGGGTGTTGAAGCAAAGTGGAGACATTGCTTGGCCTGTTACCTCTGAGTAGTTTTGGCTCACCACAGCACCCCTCTCCTGAGCCACTCCTGGCCTTTGGGCTGCTGGGAATTAAGTGGAAAAAGAGTGCTGGGTGAGTGCTGGGTGTGTTTAGATCTACTAACTTGACTACTGAGCTTTGTGAGTACAGAGTGACATTCACGTTTTTCTATATGAGTAAGTTTATGCATGCATGTGTGTGAATGTGTTTGTGTACACATGAGCTCCAGAAAATCTTCTGAAGAGGAACGTGGACTAGTGAAGTGTGAGGAGGCCAAGTCAGATACTTTCACGTCTCCACATGAAGAAGTTGTCCATGTGCACTGCAGAGTTTGTTGTGGTTTTGTTACTGAAGCATTCATTCAGCTTTTAACTTTTTTAAGTTGAAAACAAGTCAAGGTTATGTTTGTGCTTAATAATTCAACAATGGTGCCAGCTCAGCATATTGTCTTTTTCTTCCCTAGTCATTCTGGTTTATTAAAAAGAAACACTGATGACAGATAGAAGGGTGAAGGAGGCTGTGCCTTTCTGCTCTAACTCCTGCCGGGTGCTGATTCCTTCCCTAGAAGTCCCCACGGATTTGTGTTCTTCACAAAATGTTTGCCCCAGCAGTACTATCCCCACCCTGGGCAGGGAAAGCTTGGCAGCAAGTCAGGGCTTAGCTGTCCCCTTCTCTGTGCACCACATCTTTTTTCTCTGAATAGGCACATTTTCTGTTTCAGTGGAATATTACTCAGAATCCTTCAGTAAGTCTGTCTCAGTGATGCATTATTTTCACTTTGGTTATGAGGTTGTGGGGCTGTTTTTTGGTGGTCTGGGTTTTTTAAAAAATATTTAGAAGATCATTAACTCTTTTGAAGCCAAATAAGCTTGCATTAAAATAGGTTTTTGTCTTTCCTGTAAAAATAAAGCTATATTAGGAGCTAATTCTGCCACATGCTAATGTGTATGTTGCTTCATAAACAATGCTGTTCATTTCCAGGGGATCTGCTTCCTGGTGATGGTATTGTCACAGTGAATGAGAATAGATGAACACAATTTTATAAATCTGGGAGCACTGAGAGCACACAGTGAAGCTCATGTTGTGTAACTCCCATCTCCAGTGTCCCTGAGCACAGACTAGCATTGTGCACAATTCCCACTCACAGACTTGGCAAGCAGTCTGAAACATCATCTTCTTCTGTTCTGGCTCCTCAACTTTATCTATGCACCTCCATTTGCTCACAGTGTACCATCTCCTGGTCCCATCTTCTCTCTGTGCAGGCCAGAAGCTACACAGTGGTTTTATGGGCATACAGTGGAGGGCTTAAGTCAGATCCACTAAACTGCTTACGATTGGATGAGCCTGAGGATTTGAGATTTAGCTTCTGTAGTCAGAATACTTTGCAGTATTTGACATGAGTTCTTCCAGAGAGCTAGATATATTCCTAGAGACAATGGGAATAGGAGTCTCTTTAGGCAGAGGAGGTAAAAATAACATGTACATTCCTGTTATTAAAAATTGAAACGGGGAGAGCAAGAGAGCAGAAATCTTGTTGTTAGTATAGTTCCACCTGGGGTAAGGATTTATTTTAGAGCATAATATTTTACTTGTGTCGAATACATATTTCTGGAAGAACTTGATTTTTGTGCGTGTGTGTGTGTGTGTAATGTATCTATAGCCTGTATCCCATTTCCCTTTCATGCCACTGAGCAAATGAAAAAAGCTGGGGAAGGCATCTTGACACAGTGGTTTCATTCCGATGTTGTATTGCAGGTATGGCCTCGCATGTGCAAGTTTTCTCTCCTCATACCCTTCAGTCAAGTGCCTTCTGTAGCGTGAAGAAACTGAAAGTGGAGCCGAGTTCGAACTGGGATATGACTGGGTACGGCACACACAGCAAAGTCTACAACCAGGGCAAGAACGTGCAGTCCTCCCAAGCAGCCGCCGCAGCAGCCGTCAACGCCTCCCTCCAGATCCCCAATCCGAGCATCCCTTACGAGCAGACCATCATCTTCCCAGCAAGCACGGGGCACATCGTGGTTACATCTGCCAACAGCACTTCTGGTGTGGTTGCAGTGTCTGGGCAAACACTGGGCGGGCCACACAACCTGATGCGTCGCAGCACTGTGAGCCTTCTGGACACCTACCAAAAATGTGGACTTAAGCGCAAGAGTGAGGAGATTGAGAACACAAGCAGCGTGCAGATTATCGAGGAGCATCCACCAATGATTCAGAACAATGCCAGTGGGGCCACTGTAGCCACCGCCACCACCTCCACGGCCACTTCCAAAAACAGTGGCTCCAACAGTGAAGGGGATTACCAGCTGGTGCAACATGAGGTGCTCTGTTCCATGACCAACACGTACGAAGTGTTAGAGTTTCTTGGCCGTGGAACCTTCGGACAAGTAGTCAAATGCTGGAAACGTGGCACTAACGAGATTGTGGCTATCAAGATCCTAAAAAACCACCCTTCTTATGCCCGGCAAGGCCAGATTGAAGTGAGCATCCTGGCTCGGTTGAGCACGGAAAGCGCGGATGACTACAACTTTGTCCGTGCTTATGAATGCTTTCAGCACAAGAATCACACATGCTTGGTATTTGAAATGTTGGAGCAGAACCTCTATGATTTCTTAAAACAAAATAAATTCAGTCCCTTGCCCCTTAAGTACATTCGACCGATTCTCCAGCAGGTAGCAACTGCCCTAATGAAGCTGAAAAGCCTGGGACTGATTCATGCTGACCTCAAACCAGAGAACATCATGCTGGTAGACCCATCCCGACAGCCATATAGGGTCAAGGTCATAGACTTTGGTTCAGCTAGCCATGTGTCTAAGGCTGTGTGTTCTACTTACCTTCAATCCAGATACTACAGGTAAGAGACTGGGCTCATGTAACACTACAATACAGGAGAAGTATTTTACCTAAGGGAATTTTCTTACATTCATTTAAATGAATGAGAGTCATCCCTTAATTCGAAACAGAGATGGCTCTTAGAATGACTTGCTGATGATAAGAAAAAATTATGTCCTAACGCCTCTCTTGGAGTTTACTTTCATTGAAAACCATTGTAAGTTCGTAAATAATCATAAATTGTTGCAAAAATAGAGTTTGCCAGTTACAGTTTAGAAAGTCTTTCACTTCTATCAGTTTGTTCTCGCTGGAATTGTTTCCAGAAGAGGGGATGTACACATTTTCATTACAAGCCAATGGATATAGGTTCTTGGTTTCAGAACTATTTCAACCTAAACAGTCAATCCATACCTCAAAAGTGTTTTCCAGTCAGTACTCATACATGAAACCAGGGACTTAACAAGTGTAAGGTTGGCCCACAGGAAAATTGTATGGATGCAGAAGATGATTTGTCAAGGATTAGTTTTCACACAGGCTCTGAGTCAGTGGGAGTCTTCTGGCTGGCCTCTTGTCAGCTCTCCTCCAGGCAAGTATTGTCAGTGATTTGGTGTTGGAGTGAGGACCTGTTGTCTGTTGATTCCCACTCACAGTGCTTTGTTATGTGCTAGGCTGGAGCTGTGACCTCAGCACAGGTGTGCCTGAAGCGAAATGTGTGAATCAGGTATATCCCTCTTCAGCCTGTTGAACAGTTTCATCAGAGCAGCCTCTTTTCATAACCCCTGGCAGGGCATCCTCTCACTCTGTCTTGACTCCGAGACACAAAGTCTCTCTTGTAGATGTTCTTAGACCCTCTCTTTGGTACCACTCAGCTTGATTCAGCATCGTAGGGACCGAGAAAGGCAGTTCTATTGCTGCTTCAGGGGTGGGGGAAATAGAGAAGAGCGTGAAGGGAATTTGTGTTTAGATAACAGCTGAATTTAGAAATGTTGAGACCACATTTTTGTCATTGTACTTCTGTGAAACAGGGGCAAAGAGAGAAAATCCGATCCTCCTTCATGATGGATTTAATGAAAATCAGTCCTGGCACCATCTACAGTTCATCGGATGGGTTACAAAAAAAACAGGGTAGTTGATATGTTTGTAAATAGAGAAGAAATCTGTCTTATACATGGTGAGGACTGGGCTTGAAAAACCAACATGAGTTGGTAACAGACCCTTTTCCTACTTCATTAATTTCACAGTGGCAAAGCCTGCCTCAACTCTGAGCTTGGAGAGGGTTAATTTTCACAGGAACAGGAACTTTGACAGTGTAGCACTGCAGCAGCTGATCTTTATCTGCTTGTCCTTTGCTCTGAAGGAGGCCAGGAAAAAATGCCCAGCCCTAGTTTATACCTTACAAGGGGCTTAAATAAGATATTCTACCTGATGACAGTCCCATCCTCCAGGAGAGACATGTTTCTGTGGTAAATATGCAAAAGCTTTTAGAGTTGCAATTACCTGACAGACTAGGGAAAAAAAAAAAAAAAAAAAAAAAAAAAAAAAGGAAGATAATACAGGCATTTTGTTGTTGAGTTACCTGTGATTCTGTGTGAGCAGCCTAGGTCCCTTGCCGAAAGACAGAAGGGGCAGCCAAAATGAAATATGTGACAGAAAGCAGAAATGAAAGGGAAAAATGGTTCATTCTCAGTGACAAACAAGGAATATTTTGTGGCAGTCACCAGGGAGGAAAAGGCTTAGTAAAGTTTGCTTTTTATATTTTAAATGTTATCCTGCCCAGTCTGAAGTTGGAGCTTGATAGATAGTAAGTTCTGTCTGTCTAATTTCTCCCCTGTTTTCCATGCCCGAATTGGTGGGAGGAGGGGAAAAGGGGCAGCAGCTCACCAGAAAAAAAAAAAAAAAAATCTCATTGGGTTGAATTACATCAGCAGGGGGCTGCTGATTAAGCTAAATTCAAGTCATGAGGAAAATTTATGTTCTTCTTCATTTTCTGATGGGGAAAGTACAGCACAGAGTAAAGACCCCTTCCACTCTAAAATGAAAGAACTTTCATGCTAGGGGAAACACTGGGCTTTATAAAGATTTCATGTGTCTTCCATTTAATTTACACTTGTTCTGCTTGCTAGAGTGTAAAAGACAAGGGGATGACTTCAAGAAATGGCACATTTAAGTTGTATGTGAAGGAAAAGCTTCCTCAGACTGGTGAAACCTCTCAGGCTCTAAGCAGTCATGCTCAAGGAGTGACAGAAGCCCTGTGCCCCATGCATTTAAGGAAAGATGAAGCAGAGCACAGGGAACTATAAAGCAGAGGCTGGATCTCAGCTGGAGGCTTTTTATCATGGACTTTTGCAAGCAAATTCCTAAGCTGTCTCCATATATTATTAACAGCTTGCTTTTTCTTTTTCCTATCACTACTTTTGAGAATGTGATGGCCAAATCCTTTGAAGGATTGAAAGGTGTGTGGGATCCTGCTCCTTCTCAGAGCAATGTAAGGCCATTCCTCTTCCATTCCTTCCTTCAAGAGGAATGATAGGTCCATTTTCTTATCCCAAACATGGAAGACAAAGTGTCTTTAAACAAACTGTGCTTTTTCTTGACCTGAACCTGCATAACCCAGCACAAACCAAGAGAATTCCACGGCTGCTTGCAGACTTTCCATGGGTGATTTCACATTGCTGCTGTGTAACATGCTCTGAAGATGAACGGGGTCCCTTGGGCCAGTTTCTTGTGGAAAGAATGGTGGGCAGACTTGCTCTTGTGCTGCTGACACTGCTCAGGGACGCTCCCTTGCTGGAACCCCCAAACCCAGAACTATTTCTGTCCCACCAGGGATGTTTCTAAGCAAATGCGCTCTGCAAGGATGCAAATGGTATTGAGGTGACAGAGTGGATGAAAAATATCAAAAATGGGATCAAAATGTCTTTAGTCCAGCAGAATTTAGCTCCCAACCCTCTTAAGAAAATACAGCTTCCTCCAAGCTAGATCTGCTGCCACAAGTGGTACTCAGGAGATCTTTCTCCTGTGCTCCTGAATGTAGGGAGCCCGTGGGAGGCAGAACATGACAGCCTAAGGTGGGCTTTGCAGGAACTGCCCTGCTGCCAAGAATCCCTCTCTGGGAGGGCAGTGCTGTTGTGTCTCCAGTGCCTGCTGCAGGCCTCGAGAGAAGGGAATGAGCCCCAGCAGGGTCACACCATGGGCCCTGCCTGACATGACAAAGAACATCACAACCACAGTCTGTGGTCAGAGTTATCTTCTAAAAGGGGGGATGCTTTGAAGAGGATCATCCTCCTTCTGCCCACCCAACTTCAGCCTGTGGTGCAAAACTTGCTGTGGTACAAAGTGTTTCTCTCATGGCATCCTTAGCCAGTGTGTGTAGGACCTCACTGGTAGCCATCCAAACATCCCTTGCTTAAGGGGCCCCAGCCTGTCCCCCTGTCACCATAGTCCTTCATCTTGTCCCTTACCATCAGCTGCATCAACCTGGGCCTGATCACTGACCCATCAGGGAGGTTTATGGTGATGCAGCCATGGTCTGGAGGTGCCTGAAGGAAAAGGTGAGGAGCTGAAGCTGATGATAGAGGGCTGCTCTGCCCAGCTCAGAGTTCAGGAGCAGGGCTCTGCACTTGGCAGTTTTAGCCAGACATGCTTAAGTTAGAAATGAAGCCCTGTTCACAGAGTAATGGATCAAAAAGCTGTGATAGCCTCTGCCTCACAGTGTATCTTCCTGGGATTTTATTGTAGTTCTTTTC